CACCAGCACACATATCTATCCAAATCTGTTTCTGTGAATTAATGGTCTATCCTTGTCTTTCACTTTTTAAATTTCATGCAATTTCTCTCATTAGCCGACTCTAATTTGAAACCAGATGGAGAAGGGGAATCTGGAAAATGTAGTTCTCAACTTCTCCCCTAATATGCAGAAATATCTAAGAAGAAGCTGGCGATCAAGCCAAATTGACAACAGAGAATCCAGCATATATCGAATCCCTGCAGTGGTGACACTGAAATTGGGATCCAATAGTTTTAAAGAATAAAATTTCCACTTTTAGGTAGGAAGCTAGAAGAAATGTAACTAATAACTAAATAGTATTATATTTAAAGATAATTTTGGGGACTGACTCCAAGCTGCATGCTTTTCCTACGTCATCTCTCTGCTTCCATAAATACAATTTCCGGCATTAAAAGTCCTTCCTGTTTTGCAGAGAAGAGAACATAGCATCCTTTTCTGTTTTGCTCTTGTCCTTTCAACCTCCTCTGCTGACTCTCATGATGGGAGGGAAAGAAAACATTTATTTTTCTCAGTCCTCCTAGCATCTATTCCTCCTTCTTATCAGCATATCCATTTCTTTCCAGAAGATTTCCTCTCTCTTCCTGTGTGTGGTCTTAATGACATGTTGAAAACAGGGTGTGCCTCCTCTTACTAAAGGTGAAGTGGCAGAAGACTTCAGTCCACCACCCTAGTACAGCTAAGGAGTGAAAGTGTGACTCAAGATTGGCCAGTCAAATGCTTTCCTCTAGAGCTTTGAAATTTGAGCAGCAGTGGAAATAAAATTTGAAGACCATGTGATTCAATGGCAGACTGTTTGGTATAAAAATCACTATTGTAGATCCTGTTTCATGCTGATTTAGTTTGTCAATTTTCAAATAACAACCTTCCTTCAGATTTATGTGATTGTCAACTGCTACAATCCTGACCTTTCTTTACAAAGATGGCTGGATTAAATTTCTATCACAATTAAGGATCCAAATTAATATAACCATCTTTCTAATCACTAATACATTCACTTTAATCCATTCCAAATATGTAAATGTGGGTATTAAAAATAAAACTGGAAAAAATAACTTTGTATTAGATAATTTTGTTGAATTTAATGTACAGTATGTACGTAAAGCAGAAGTGCTAGTTTCTAGCAGCAGATAAAATTCCATTGCTTTTAAAATTCTTGGAATAAGATAGAAAAAACAAGAATAAAAAAGATAGCATGTAATAGTAATAGAAAATATTACTGCTCATTGACAATGCATCTAGTCACTCAAGATCTCTAAGGAAGATGTGCAAGAAAATTAATGCTGTTTTCCTGCCTGTTAACACAACTTCCACTCTGCAGCCCATGGATCAAGCATTTTTAACCCTCAAGTCTTACTATTTAAGAAATGCATTTCATAAGGCTACAGCTGCCATAGGTAATTCCTCTGATGAATCTGGGAAAAGTAAATTAAAAACCTTGTAGGAAAGAGCCACCAGTTTAGATGCCACTAATGATATTCATGATTCTGAAAGAACCATAAAGTTAAAATATCAACATTAACAGGAGTTTGAAAGAAGTTGATGTCAACCCTCATGAATGACTTTTTGATGACTACAAAGGTGGTAGAAACAGTAAGAGAACTGGAGTTAGAGATGGAGCCTGAAGATGTGACTGAATTGCTACAATCTCATGATAAAACTTGAATAAATGATTGCTTCTTATTGATGACCAAAAAAAAAAAAAAGGTTTATTTTTTGAGATAGAAACTTCTGTTGGTGAAGATGCTGTGAACATTGTTGAAATGACAACAAAAGGTTTTAATTTTTTTTTGAAATGGAGTCTCACTCTGTTGCCCATGCTGGAATGCAATGGTGCAATCTCAGCTCACTGTGACCTCCACGTCCTAGGTTCAAGCAATTATCCTGCCTCATCCTTCCAGATGGATTACAGGTGCACACCACCATGCCTGGCTAATTTTTGTATTTTTAGTAAAGACAGGGTTTCACCATGTTAGCCAGGCTGGCTTCAAACTCCTAACCTCAAGTGATCCACCCACCTCAGTCTCCCAAAATGCTGGAATTACAGACATGAGCCAGCACTCCCAGCCAACAACAGAAAATTTTAAACTGTTACATAAATTTAGTTAACACAGAAACACAAGGGTTTGAGAGGAGCAACTTCAATTTGGAAAGAAATTCTACTGTCAGTAAAATGCTATCAAACAGCATTGCATGTTATAGAGAAATATTTTGTGAGAAGAGGAGTCAATCAGTTCACTAAACTTCATTGTTATCTTATTTTAATAAATTGCCACAGCCACTCCAACCTTTAGCAACCAGCACCCTGGTCAGTGAGCAGCCAGCTATTAGATATAGGACTCTCAATAAGCAAAACCATTATGAATAACTGAAGATGACAGATGACTGTTAGCATTTTTAAATTAATGTATGTACATTGTTTTTACATATTTAATGCTATTTCACACTTCATATACTACAGTATAATGTAAACATAACTGTTTATTTAAACTTTTAGGTTCATGGGTACACTTGCAGGTTTATTAGATAGGTAAATTTCATGTCATGGAATTTTGGTGTACATATCACCTGGGTGATTAGTACATAGTACCTGATAGGTAGATTTTCAAACCTCATCCTCTTCCCTCCCACAAGTAAGTCCCAGGGTCTGTTGTTCCCACCTTTGTGTCCATATGTACTCAATGTTTAGCTTCCACTCGTAAGTGAGAAAATGCAGTACTTGTTTTCCTGTTCTTGTGTTAGTTCACTTAGGTTAACAGCCTCCAGCTCCATCCATGTTGCTGCAAAGGATATGATCCCATTCCTTATTATAGCTATGTAGTTTTCCATGGTGTATATGTACCACATTTTTTAATCCAGTCTCCCATTGATGGCATTTAGATTGATTCCCTGTTTTTGGTATTGTGAATAGTCCTGCAATAAACATATTCATGCATGTATTTTTATAGTAGAATGATGTATATTCCTTTGAGTATGTGTCTAATAATGGGATTGCTGGGTTGAATTGTAGTATGCTTTGATTTATTTGGGAAATCACCAAACCGTTTTCCACAATGACTGAACGTACATCCCCATGAGCAATATATAAATGTTCCCTTTTCTTTGGAACCTCACTAGCATCTGTTGTTTTTTCCTTTTTAATAATATCCATTCTGACTAGCATGAGATGGTATCTCATTGTGGTTTTGATCTGTATTTCTCTAATGATTAGTGATCTTGAGCATTTTTTCATGATTGTTGGCCATATGCATGTCTTCTTTTGAAAAGTATCTTTTCAAGCCCTTTGCCCACTTTTTTTTTTTTTTTGAGACAGAGTTTCGCTCTTGTTACACAGGCTGGAGTGCAATGGCGCGATCTCGGCTCACCGCTTTTTAATGGTGTTGTTTGTTTCATGTTTGTCGATTTGATTAAGTTTTTAAAGATTCTGGATGGTAGGCCTTTGTCAGATCCATGCTTTCCAAATATTTTCTCCCATTCTCTAGGTTGTCTGTTGACTCTGTTGATAGTTTCTTTTGCCGTGCTGAAGCTCTTGAGTGTAATTAGGACCCATTTGTCAATTTATGTTTTTTTGCAATTGCTTTTGGCATTTTGTCATGAAATCTTTTCCAGGGCCTATGTCCAGAATGGTATTTTCTTGGTTTTCTTCCAAAGATTTTTTTATAATTTTAGGTTTTACATTTAAATGTTTCATCCATCCTGAGTTGATTTTTATATATGGCATAAGGAAGAAGTCCAGTTTCAGTCTTCTGCATATTGCTAGCCAGTTATTCCAGAACCATTTATTGAATGACTCCTTTCTCCTTTGCTTATTTTTATGAGGCTTGTTGAAGATCAGACGGTTGTAGGTATATAGCACTATTTCTGGGCTCTCTATTCTGTTCCACTGGTGTATGAGTCTGTTTTTGTACAAGTACCATGTTTTTTTGGTTACTGCAGCCTTACAGTATAATTTGAATTTGGGTAATGTGATGTCTTCAGCTTTGTTCTTTTTGTTTAGGATTGCCTTGGCTATTAGCGAGCACAGCTCCTTTATGCATCCCCCTCAAAAAAAAAAACAAACAACAAAAAAACAATAAAATGATGTGACTCACTTTATTGAGATATTTGCTTTATTGCAGTGGTCTGGAACTGAAATTCCAGTATCTCTGAGGTATACCTGTTTTTAGAAGAATAGGCAGGTTACTAACATTCAAGGACCCCTCCCACACCATCATTTTTCTAGAGTATTGCTGAGAAATGAGTTTAGGTTTACTTTCTATAACAGTTATCTTCTGGACAGTTATTCTATGTTGGTTGTGGAGCAGATGGTTACTCTGATCATTGTTAAAGTGGAGGAATTGAAAAGTTGAAGTATAACTGCCATTATACACCAACAACATGATTATGAATTTAAAAAATACAGAGAAATCTACAAATTACAAGAATTCATAAGTGAATTCAGCTAGGTCACATGATACAAGATCAGTTGTATTTTTATAAACTATCAACAAACAATTATACAATACAAGATTTTAAAATAGCATTTATAATTTCACCAAAACCATAAAATATCTAAGAATAAAATTACTAAGCTATATGTAAGAGTTTTCCAAAACTACAGACAAAATGAATATTGTTCAAATAAATCAAAGATGTAAAAAAATAGAAAAATATATCATTTTCATAGAATAAAATACTCTAAAAACTCTACACTGCTAGATTGTATTAGTCTGTTTTCATACTGCTATAAAGAAATACCTGAGACTGGGTAGTTTATAAAGGAAAGAGGTTTAATGGACTCACAGTGTTGTATGGCTGGGAGGCCTCAAGAAACTTACAATTGTGGCATAAAGGAAAGCAGGCATGTCTTACATGACAGTAGGTGAGGAAAAAAAGCTAAGAGGGAAAAAACCCCTTATAAAATCATCAGATCTCATGATAACTCACTATCATGAGAACAGCATAGGGGAAACCACCCCTATTATCCAATCACCTCCCTCCCTTGACATGTGAGGATTACAATTTGCAATGAGATTTGGGTGTAGACACAAAGCCCAGCCATATCACAGATGTAACCTTTCTTCAAATAAAGTCAATGTAATCCCAGCAGATTTTTTGTTAAAGTATACATGACAATTCCCAAAGTTATATGATAAGATAAAAGACACAGAGGGACTACGACCTAACCTCTTATAACAAATGTCTTCTGTTTTTGTGAACGGAAGAGAATGCAGAAATGGACCTACCTCTTGATTTACACCAGAAGCACGAATGCACTTCAAAGGGAAAATAAATATCTTCAAAATAAATTGTGTTGGAGCCATGGGATATTCATCAAAAACAATAAATATATAAATAAACCCTTCGTGCTTCCTCACATTACACAGAAAAATTAACTGTAGTAGTTAAAAGTATAATTTTTAGCATAAAGCATAGATAATATTTTTATGGCATTAGATTGACAAAGATTTCTTGTACAAAGCAACAAAATCCCTAGTTATAAAAAAGGAAAAATAACATTGTAAATTATAATTTAGCCAAATTATACATTTTGTCATCAAAAGATACCATTAAGAATGTAAAACTGTAAGCATCAGACTGGGAGAAAATACATATTAGACAAATAACTCCATACATGATATGTGTTAAACTTACAACAATATGAAAAATAACCAAAAATGGCCAAAAGTGGATATCCCAATGGATAATAAACATATGAAAATGTGTTCAGTATAATTCATCAGCAATATATTAATTAAAACCATAATATACTACTAAACACCTATCAAAATGGCTCAAAGATATTTTGATGGCAAATAAGCATATGAATAGTTGTTCAGTACTATTAGGAAAATGCAAAATTAAAACTACAATGAGGTACCACTATATACCCGTGAAAATCGGTAAAATTGAAAAGATTGACCATACCAAGTGTTGATGAGGATGTGGAAGAACTGAAACTCTAATACCACAAATGGTGGAAATGTAAAATGTTACAATTACTTCAGAATATTATTGGGTAGCTTCTAAAAATATTAGACATATATCTACATTATGACCCAGCCACTCTAATTCTAGGTATATAATCAAGAAAAATAAGTAAAATTGTTTGCAAAGTCAGTGGCAACATATATTATATTCTAGATTACATGATTACACATTTGTATACATTTACTTATACATGGAATATCTCTGTTTTTATATAAGAAACTGTTTCACTTCTCTGCATAGGTAGGGGACTGATTGGGAGACAATATGGGTGAGGAAATGTTTTTTCCACTGAATATCATTTACCATATTTGAATTGTGTACTATCTGCGTGCATTGCCCATTTTTATAATGAACCAACTTTTCATTCATTTTAAAAAGTCAATCAGGTCTACACCAGCATATATATTGAGTCCTATTTTATGGTATATTGTACTATTTTATTACTTATTGCCATTTATCTGTTTCTGTGCATAAGTTATAAATCAAAGTTTACATATGCATAGAATAAAAGTATATATAGGGTTTAGGGCTATCTGTGGTTTCAAGTACCCACTGGAGGTCTTAGAATGTATTTTGCAAAAATATAGGAGTACTACTATAATTCATAACAAAAGAAGCCAGTTAGTGGTAAAATACAGCAATAGCATTCTATCATTAACTTTCTGAGAAACAAGGTCAAGTAAGCTTGGAATGAATATGTTAGATTGTTTGTATAATTGCCATAAATGTAGTTGCACATCTTCAACTATGCTTCTTCCCACAAGTATTTTTTGCAAGGTTCTCTTTCACATGTTTCTTCATCAAAGTTAAATTTTTCTTTGTTGAAGGGCCCAAGTTATCATGTTTTGTTTTCTTCCTTTTCTTTTCTTTTTGTATTTTTTGGTTCTTATATTTGTTTGTAATGCCTATCTCTTCAATATAAACAACCAGAAGTACCAGAATACAATAAATATTTTTTATGCTAGACTTTCTCAGCCATACAGCAGCATACAATTTATAACCATGACTAAAATTATCCTCAAAAAAGAAAACAAAAGATATTAATATTGCCTTGAGACACAGCTATTTGTGTTATCACAAATTACCCTTGCACATTGCACTTGCAAAAACAGATGAATTATTTTTATTTATTGAATATATTTATGACTATATTGAATACTGTGGACAATTTCAATACAACAGTAAGTATCTGTGTATCTAAACATAGAAAAAGGTACAGTGAAAATATGGTATTATAATCTTACATGACTGCTTTCATATATGTGGTCTTCATTCACCAAAATGTCATGTGGCACATGACTAGATCTATACTGAGAGTGCAGACAGCAGCTAGAAAAGTCAGAAGTTTGATTCTGGTTTATTGAATTTCTTATTAGAAATACAAATGGATGCTGAGTGGAAGTTGGATGGAGATGAAATATAGGTTTGGATTCAAAGGAAAATATCTCTGTTGGTGCTAAATACTTGAGAGTCATCAATGTATAGAAAATAAGTTATGTTAAAGCTATGCTACAGGATGAAATCACTTAAGAGAATAAGGGTAGATAGAAAAGTGAAGAGGTCCAAGAATTGCACCCTGAAACATTAAAACACTGAGAGGCAGCAGACATAAAGAGGAGATTGATAAGAAAAGGCAAGAAAGATATGAATAAAGCCAGGGGAGTTTAGTGTCCCAGAAGCCAAATGGAGAAAATATTTCAAGGAAAAGAGGAGTCAACTGTGCCAAATGCTTCTGATAAGCAAGAAAAATGAGGAGCTGGCTATTCGATTTTGCAATGTGGAAGATATTCATGATAACATTTTAGGTGGTGTAGTTTGGCTGAAAACCTGATTGGAGTGTTTTTAAGAGAGAATGAGAAAGAAAAATTGGAGACATCAAGTTTTTATAAACTATTCAGGATAATGACATGAGTATCTATATAATGATTTGAATCTTAGGTAACAAACTCTAGCTCACAATAAATAGACCTTTCCTATATTCACTATAATTGAACATAATATGTTGAATTAATATACAAAGTTTATTGAAGCATTGTGTGCAATAGTAGCATATTGAATAAACTTAGCTAACAAGTAATTATTGGTCAAATAAAATATGATTTGCTGAGTGTGATGTGTGCAGTATGGAGTACTACAAAGCGGTGGGAGAGAAAATAGTTAATCCTACGTGTTTTGACATTGAAATATCTCCAAGATATTTTTGGTGAACAGCTCTTTTAATGTATGTCTATGTGTGGCTTAATTACTTAGTTGAAATTGACAGAGTGCAATTATGAAAAAGTTATTTTGGTCAATACTACTATCCTACTGAAGAATCAGAATAGTCTGATTTGGGGGTGTTAAAATATTCAGTGTGATGCAAGTCAGAACTTTTATCTCACACCAAATCAAAAGTTGCTCCTGTTCAGTGCTCAGCTGCTCAGGGAGGCATGTTCTGCCTTTTCTATTTTTCTCTCCCTCTGCCCTACAGATAGCTGCTGCTTTGGCTCCTCTAGCATGGGGATGAGATGGAAAGAAACTAACAAAATCACCCTGGCTGATTCTGTTGTACTTTGATATCAGTGTTCCAAATGCTGGCCTACGTCCAAATGCTGGCTGTTTTCCTCATAAAATGCTCATGTGGATTCTTCAAAGACTTCCCCATTATGAAGCATGTATCACTGTTCTCTGATACAAGCAAGCACTCACTAGTTGGCCTCCATAACCCCTGACTTTAGCTTCTGCTCTGACACACCTGCAGCCTCTCTCTTTTGGTTGACCTCTTCATGGCAGGACATAATATTATGGAGTGTTAAACAAGCCAGTGTGGTCATACACAATATTTTTTTTTCATAAACAATGGGTGCATCCCAAAAGAAATGTGAGAACCATCTCTGCTCTACCCTGCTCTCCCATAACTACCTCTATTTTGCTATACACATGCTGTCAGGTTTTATTGAAAATAACTCACAGAAAAATTCTACTACACACAGATTTATTAAGCACATATTCAGAAACAAGGAACACAAAATAGTTCTTATAAGTTTCTCTGGAAGTTCAATGATGGTCCAGCTCTCTGAACTTTTAAGTGTTCCAAAAAGCACCTTCCTAAAAACGTGTATTCATGGCAGACAAGAGAGCATTCAAGAAGCAAGTTCCCCATCAATCTTATAGAGGGCATAAGACAACTAGAAGTGTTCCTAAACTAATGGCTGGACACAGGACTATTTAGGAGTAAAGCCTTGAGAACCATCCAAGAATAAATGAAAAGAGTCTCATATACTATGTTATCTGAATTATTAAGGATGTTTCTAAAATATTTTAGCCGATCAATATACCTTGGTTATCTCTCAGAAGCCTCCTGTACTAGTGGATCTCACAGAACCTGGAGAAATATATCCTAAGAGAGAAAAAGACATTCATTGTTGGAGCAGCCTAGTGGCCCCTGGGAAACAGCTGTTTCTCATCATGGCAGTGCTCTCAGCTTCAGGGACAAAAGGGTGTGGCATGTGGTGTGCTCTGATTGGCCCTAGCTCTGCAAATGTGGTTATCGAGGAAGACAAGCCCAGCTTTTTCTCTGACCACCACAAGTCTTTCAGAAAATTCAATGAGAAGGGACCACATCACCTTCCTGGAACAGGGTATCACCTATAGACAGACAGGAGATCCTACTAGACTTTGTGCACCTGAGGAAATGGCACCCCTTTCTCCATTCTCCTCCTTGGAGATGATCACTACTGTGATCCAGCAGATGTCAGGCTGTGTGAGATCAGCATCATTAGCACCCAGTGGTTCCTGCACTTACTGACCAGAATGCAGGCATTCACCCACCCAGCTGCCGAGCTCAAGCAGACCTACTCAGGTGCAGAGCCTCAGCAGGTGCTGCAGCATAGAGGAAGAAGAGGCAGGAGCTGAGAAGCATAACAAGGTTCTGTTAGATGCTCAGTTTGAGGGCATTTACTTCACCTTCCACAAACTGCTTGCTTCTTACCACACCCCATGTGCTTCTCTGACCTGTGCGTGGCCTTGCTCAGTGGTCTGCTTTATGCATGTAGACTTGACCCTTTATCTTCACTGCCTGCTCCTGCAGTACAAGGTGCCTCGCAGTGCACAAAGTCTGCACCAGCTTCATGAAGATGCCCATCCCTGGTGACAATGGGGGAGTGGGAAGAATAACTACCCTAGTTAAAAAACTGTAAACGTCAGTGTCAATTAGTAACCCCTATGGAAAGGGTGGTTGGGTTTGTTTTGTTTTGTTTTTTCCTTTTTCACTCATACAGTTCTACAGTGTGATAATTTTTTTAAAAAATAATCATTTGTTCTTTTAAGTTTATAAATTTTTCAAAATGATAGCAAAACTTTCTGTATTTCTCTCTAAATATATGCTTATAATTTATTTACCTAATAAAAAATTCAGTTACTGTATTTTGAAAATTCAAGATGCCAGTCATCTTTCCCCTTAGGTTTATGACATTCTGTGAGTATTGCTTACAAGCTTGAAAGATAAGTTAAAAAAAAAAAAAAAAGCACTGCTGTCCTAGTGATTTTCTGTATTTAGTAAGTGTAATTGCCCCTCTGTAAAGCAGTGATTAAACTTTAGGACTTAAAACGTCAGATGTAGATTTATGCAAGATAAGACCACATCTTACTTGCCAGCCCCTTTAAGAATGACATTGCTACCTACCTAGTCCTTCTTCGTGTCCCTAAAAAGATCTCTTTGGGATTTATAACAACCAATTATAAATGTGTATCCCAGATCTCTTGAGAGTCTCACTCATCTAGAGCAATTAAGTGTTCACTACATTTCCTAAAATAATTAATGAGAGACGGATTTTTTACTTAAGTTTTGGTAGTTGCAAGAAGTGGAAAAGAGTTCACATCAAATACTACATAGAAATGCTTAGCCAAATACCTATGCATTAGTTATTTATTACTATATAACAAATTACCCCAAAACCTCATTAGCTTAAATAATTCTTATTTTCTCATAGTTTTTATTAGGCAGGAATCTGGATATGGCTTAGTGTGGTGCCTTTGTTTCATGGTCTCTCACAAGGCCAGAATAAAGATGTTGACTGAGATAGAGTGATCTCAGTGCCCAACCAGCGAAGTATATTAGTTAGGCTGTTCTTGCACTGCTATAAAGAAGTACCTTAGACTTAGTAATTGTTTTTTTTTTTTTAAGAGGTTTAATTGGCTTATGGTTCTGCAGACTGTACAGGAAGTATGGTACTGGCATCTGCTCAGCTTCTAGTGAAGCCTCAGGGAGATTTCAGTCATGGCAGAAGGTGAAGCAGAAGCAGGCAGGTCACATGGCAACAGCAGGAGCAAGTGAGTAGCCAGGAAGTGCCACACACTTTTAAATAAGCAGATTTTGAGAGGATTTACTATTGCAAAGACAGCATCAAGCCATGGAGCGATCCACCCCCGTAACTCAAACTTACACCAGATCCCACCTCCAAAATTGGGGATTACAATTCTACATGAGATTTGAGCAGGGACAAATATCCAAACTATATCAGGAAGGATCTGCTTCGAAGCTCAGTCATGTGGTTGTTAGCAGGTTCTCACTGACTACTGTCCAGATACATCATTTTGGTATCACGTAGGTCTGTTCATAGGCCTAATTACAGCATGCAACTGGATTCCCTAAGTCCAAGAGGAGAGAGAGAGGGCCGTTAAATGAAAGCCACAGTCTTTCCATAACCTAATCTTGGAAATGATGTCCATTTACTTTATTGTAGTCTATCTGTTAGAAGTGAGTCAATAAATAAGCCCACCTTCAAGGGGAAGAGGTTATACAAGTGTGTCAATATCAGTTGGAAGTCACTTGAGAACATTCTATAGACTGCCTACAACCTCTTTAACCTTTCTATTATCTGCCCCTGCCATCACCACTTTCTCAAGGTTCCTACTCTCAGCCAGTAGTATACCTCTCATTCTTTTCCTCTTCTACCAGATTATAATTCCTTCTATTTCCCATTGCAGCATTTCTTCTCAGTTTGAATCCCTGGTTAAAAAAAAAAACCCTTAGTTAAGCAGAATGTAGACACCCATTGTTTCTTCAATATGTGTCTTGAAGGATCTCAGTACTATCAATAGAACTATGTAAACTTACCATAATGTTATACATAGAATTAATTATTTTATATAATAGTATTAAAATTAGACTTTATTACTATAAAATACTTTTAATAGTTTCAATAATTAAATCTTTTAGGAAAGAAGCTGTGTTCAATGAAGTCTATATTATCATTAGTTGTATTTATAGCAAGGCTTCTCTTAATGAATTGTGATTCTCAAAAGAGTTTTGCTTTTTTTTTAAGATAAATTTTATGAAAAATGAGTGTTTTGTTTCCAAAGTCTTTTCTTCATCTTCGTGTGCTCAGTACAAGTTCAATTACAAAGAAAAGAAACACAAAGCTTTTGACATTTTGGCCAAGAACAATGTTGGTTATTAAACTCAATCTTACCTTGGAACAAGCTTCCTTCTCATAAAACATTTTGTTATCTTTTCCTTGTCTGTAGAATCAGTGACCAATAATGCTATATAGCTTTGAGTGCTCAGTGAACAAATGATGCCTTTGAAGAGGTTTCATAGCTTAGTGGCTTTTTATTTCACTCCTGATATTGTGATTTTTGCTGTTGTTATTTTTGGTGCTAAGTTAAATTTAAGACCTTTCCTGGGCTTATCCAAAAATTCCAAAGGGAATAAACTTTATTTAATAACTCTGACACAAACTTAATGATTTCCAATTTTTCTCTCTAAAGTTTGGAAACAGATTCTTCCTAACCTCTGGAAGTAAGAAGAGAAATCCTCTGCAATCAGTCATCTAATCATTTACAACTTGACTTGATCATTCTAGGATTGCCTTGTCCAGGAAGATGAATTTCAAATAACTTTCATTAGTTGTTTAAGACCTTTATGAAAGTCCATTTTTCTGAGCATTAGACTGCTCAGCCAGTCCTCATGAAAGAATTCAGGAGCACAGCTAGCTCAACCAGGCTCATCAAGTGACTATTTGCTTTTCAAGACAGGGAACTGTGCCCTCACTCTGTCCACAATCCTACATTATCATGTCATGGTTTTCTTTCCAGTCCAAACAGATTTCACGATGAATGAACTACATTAAGCCGGAACTCCCAAAACCTCATATTTTGCCTTTGTTCCTTCCCTACTTCCAGATACTGTTAAAACTCTATCAATGAAATAATATTCTTTAATTTGGTAAGCAATAATCTTATCTATTATTAGTTACTTTTTCTTCATTTATCAAAAATATAAGAATATAATCAAGTTGTTTTATCTATGAGTGATGAGACAACCATGTCAAGGAAAAGTAAGACAAATACTTCAAATAAAAGCACATAAAGTTCAGCAGTAATGTTTAGTATTACCTGAGATGAAACATGAGGCAACAGGGAAGTCAGGCAAGCAGAGGGTTGAGGGCTAAGAGGCAAAGCTATGTTGTGTGCATGGTCTCCTTTCATCACTTACGTAGGAAGAAAGTAATATAGACTTGTAGATTTAATTTGGGGAGCTTCTGCACATATGCTAATTGCATGGTCTACAACTAGGATGTTTGCTTTGAACCTGAATGATGATAACGTCAGGAAATCTCACCAAAGTGTTTGCTATCAGGAGGTTAAAAGCATGAAACATATCACATTGGCTGTATTTATGTTTGTAAAAATCAGTGTGGATACAATATACTGCCCCTTTAAGCCCTGCTATTGAACATAAACTACCGTTTCAGATATAGATATGCATTTTTATTGTTGCAGCATCTCTAACAACTCTGATGATCAATTATCTGTCTTCTTCAATTAGAAAAGAAAGATATCACCCTTGTCCCTCTGTTAAAGTTGTCCTTGGACACAAAGCTGCTGCTCTTCAGAGGTGGTCTTTCCGTCACTGGATACGTGCCGCCTTAGTAACCAACACCTTATCCATTCAGCATTGTAGCATGATTTTAAACCCAGTGAATTTCATTTGTGTTCAGAATAGAAGAGCATTTGAAGTTCTTTTTATAAAATTCTTGGCCTTCCTTGACAAGAGAACAAAACAATGATAGATTGAATTTCAGGTAACATGAAGTGAGGCTTCAGGAAGCAAGATAAGCAGTGACTGAATGGTCTCTTAACATTACAGTAAAAAGAAGTACTTTGAAAATTCTTCCCTTTCTTTTAAAAATTATTATAATAGAAGACTTACAAATAAACAAGGTTATCCACTATTATTTGGTACTATAATATTTAAAGTCTGACTGTGCCATCAATTTGCCGTTTTGTGGCAACTTAAGGAGGTTAAAGCACATAACTTGGCAAATAGGCTATCAGCAGTCCAGCAACTATCTTTACATCAACAGTATGAATGTTTATGAGTCTTTGTTATAGAATTATGGTAATCTTTCCTGTGTACCATTTTCATTTGGAATAACATAGATTTTTACTTTTTGATGCCAATTCACTTCCTAGGGTTGTTTGTCAAACCCATTACCAATTCAGGCAGCCATACCAAATGCAATTTCCACATTACCCATAACTTCATCTATCATAAGATTTAGAGAGACTAAATAAATCAAAAGAATGCATGTTCATTTATAAAAGTTTATTTTTAATCTGAAAAAGACTTACCTATTCTTATTTTAACCTCATTTTTTATCTGCATAGTATACACAGATATTTTTAAAATATCATAATGCAAAAATTATCCTTAATATCAACATTCCTTTTCTGGTACACACAGATACTTCTCGTTGGTCTTTTTGGATATATTTTAGAGAATTACTAAAATACTTTTAAAGGGAAATCATAATAATATATTTTCTTGTCAAAGCCATATCATGATCAATTTTCTATTTCTGCATAACAGGTCACCCCAAAAATTGGTAGTTAAAAACAATTTATTCACTTTGGGAGGCAGAAAGGGTGGATCACAAGGTCAAAAGATTGAGACCATCCTGGCCAACATAGTGAAACACTGTTTCTACTAAAAATACAAAAATTAGCTGGGCATGATGGTACATGCCTGTAGTTCCAGCTACCTGGTGCTGAGGCAAGAGAATTGCTTGAACCTAGGAGGTGGAGGTTACAGTGAGTGAGATTGCACCACTGCACTCCAGCCTGGTGACAGAGTGAGACTCTGTCTCAAAAATAAAAATTAAAAAAAAATTTGCACATAGGCACTTCACTTCAGTCTGGGCTCAAGTGTATGATTCTTTGGCAGAACTCTCCTGGGTTACCTGTATAGTTTCAGTCAGGAGACAGAAAAGCTGAGAGCTGGTAGGTACTGAATGACCTCATTCATATGTTGAGAGAAACAGCAGGAATAAGTGGGAATAGCTGGAATGACTCTTCACACGAAGATGTCATCATCCTAGAAGAAAAAAATCAAAAACTTCAAAGTTTTGGGTTTTCCTCAGAAGTCACATGACTTCTTTCTAGGAAACCTAGGCCATGATAGCTGGATTCCTCCTTAGACACAGGTGGTATCAATCTGCTCTACTTAGCAAATATCTGAGAACTGTGGGTGTCCCTAAGTTTTATTTATTTATTTTTATTTTGGGGGGAGCATCACATTTCCTTATTTGAAGGAATGGTGCAAATAAAAGAACTTAAGTGGATGTTTTGATACATTACAACATACCTTCACTTTTGTTTAACTGTACTGAAAATTAAAATCAGCTTAGATTCAAGGGGTAGAAAACATTTTGTATCTTGATAGGGGAGATTTTCATAATTTGTGACAGTTTTTAATCCATTATGATTAGTGTCAACAATATTATATGTAAAATAAGATTAGAACTTCAGTTGAATGTTGATAAAATATGTTTTTAAAACTATTTCCTCTAAAAGAAAGAAGCTAACTTAAATATTATAATATTGCTGGTAAAATATTCAACCAAAATGATAATTAGTCATGTTTTAATTTGCTTGCAGGATGTCTGATCAGGTGTTGAATACATAGATGTCGGAATAAATAATCAGGATATCTTAAAAATTTTAGTTGAACACAACAGATTTTTATTTTTAACTTTGTTTTAAGTTCAGGGGTACGAATTTGGGTTTGTTGCATAGGCAACCCATATCATGGGGTTTGTTGTACAGATTATTTTATTGCCTAGGTGTTAAGCCTAGTAACCATCAGCTATTTTTCCTGATCCCCTTTTTTACAAAATGTTTAAATTCAGTAAAAAACGACTATTGATATAGATAACTTATTCAGAATTTATGATGGTGACAGTGAAGCTGAAATCTGAAAAAGTGACACATGAGTATCTCCTTGAATAAAAAATATAATGCAAGACCTGGTTCAATAGCTCATGCCTGTAATCCCAGCACTTTAGGAGGTCAAGGTGGAAAGATCACTTGAGGTCAAGAGTTGAAGACCTCCCTGGCTAACATGGCAAAACCTCGCCTCTCCAAAAAATATAAAAATTAGCCAGGTGTAGTGGCATATGCCCGTAATACCAGCTACTCAGGAGGTTGAGGCACAAGAATCGCTTTAACCTGGGAGGCAGAGTTGCAGGAAGCAAAGATTGCACTCCAACATGGGCAACAGAGTGAGACTGCCTCAAAAAAAAAAAAGAAAAAAAAAAAGAGATTTTTTTTTTTTTTTGTAAACCTGAAAGATTCATCTCAGATTTCTCTTTTGTCCCTCATTACATTTATAGGGAACTTTACATGTATAGGGAGCTTTAAACAGTATATTAAACAAGTTATAGTAATTGCATATTAAATTCTAAGCAAATTTTATGATTATTAGTAATATTCACTCTTTGGATGTTTGTGTGGATTTAAAGCTTGTAAAAGTGTCTGGAGGATAATGGTAGCTATCTGACTATCTCCAATCTAACAAAATAAAAATTGATGGATCAACAAGAAATGCAAATAAGAACACATATAACCCTTTATTATTACTGGGAATCACAAAATCCCAAAAACTTCGAATCACTTGTAAGTAGAGAATAAACCCCAAGTTCCAATACAGCTACAGTTGAAAGCATTGACTGATGCTACAGGATTATGGTTTCAGGCAAAATGAGTCTTAGCTGCACCATGCAAAAAAGGACAGGGGAACCTAGAACTTAGAAAATGCCTAGACAAAATCACCTCCAGAGAATGTCAAACTCTAATTGTAAAACTTCT